CCTCCGCATACCTTTTGCATTGAACCAGCAAAGCCCAATCCCTACACGCTACACCCTCAACCGTAAACCCCAAACCCTAAACCCTAAATCCTAGACCCTAGACCCTAAACCCCTGCATGAACCAGGATACTGGTAGTTTTGAGCCAAACAGTGTAACCGCCTTTGTCAGCCCCTTGCGTGCCCGAATATGGTTATCAAGTTATCAAGGGGGGTTGGAAGCCCTGTTGGCTTGGATTGTAGGCTTAGCAAGGTGGGTTATGGGGACTTTAGTGGGGTTTCTAGGGGGATACCAAGTCGATTTATTCATGTAGGGTGCCTGTATGAATCTCCGAGACCATGCCCAGAAGTCCGCCAGTTTCGGGTTTAGGGTTACGGTTTGGGGTGGATAGGGTTTAGGGTTGAGGGTTTGGGGTAGCAGTCCTGGGATTAATAAAGGGCTTATAGGGTTTAAAGCTCATAGGGTTTACGTTTTTTTTGGGCTTACAGGGTTTAGTTGACAGTGTTTAGGGTTCAGGGTTTAGGGTTTGGAGTTGGGAGTTGGACGCAAGCTGCACACTCCCTAATACATCGTGCGCGGCCGGAATCAGAGCCCTAAGCACTAAGTATTGCAAGGCTGCATTGTTTTTTTGGTGGCAGGGTTTTAGGGTTGAGGGTTGGGCATGTTCCCCCTTATACTAGCAGTCCTGAATGTTGAACCCTGTTTAGTGTAGGCCCCCCCCCCCCGGAACAGTCGAGGCTGGATATTGCTCTGTTTAGACGGGTCGGGGGTTTATATGATTGAAATAGGGAGGAGTTTAGATAAGTTTAAAAGGGGCAGCGATGCCCGGCCATCTTTTTTGAAAGGCGCGCCACGTGGAATTTTCTTACGGCGCCCGGACGATTTGAATTTAAACAGCGACTCCCAAACAAGATGTCCTGAATAACACAGCCAAAGTGACTTTATAGAGGAGGCCCCTGCTTAACAGGGTCCAACATTAATAGGGGTGAGAGTACCCCCTGTTATAGTCCCTAAACCCTAAAGCCTAAAGCCTAAAGCCTAAAGCCTAAAGCCTAAAGCCTAAAGCCTAAAGCCTAAAGCCTAAAGCTTAAAGCCTAAAGCCTAAACCCTAAACCCTTAACCGGTGTGGCCCCGCAGCCTCTTGGCTGACGCTGCACCTTGTGGGCCGAAGGGCGCAGGGTGCTGGCGCGATGGACTCCAGATTGATGGCCTCCTGGCAGTAAGGGTTGGAGCCCTAAGCCATACACCCTACACCCTAAACCCTAAACCCTAAGCCCAAAGCCCTAAGCCCTACGCCCTAAACCCTAAACCCTAAACCCTACACCCTAAGCCCTAAGCCCTAATCAAGCCCTAAACCCTAAACCCTAAACCCACACTACATCTCGGCATCTCTGCGGTGTGGTGAGAGCAGGCGGCCAGAAAGGCCTGAACTCAGGGTGTCCCTCATGATATCATCCTAAACCCCAAACTCGAGACACGCACATGTGAGAAGTGTGAAGTGAGAAACCCCGCCTCCCTCTCCCCCCTCTGCCCCCCCCCCCCCAACCCCCCAAACCGTAAACCCTAAACCCTAAACCCTAAACCCTTAACCCTTAACCCTTAACCCTTAACCCTTAACCCTAAACCTTCAACCCTAAACCCTAAACCCTAAACCCTAAACCCCAGGTCCACTAAACCCCCCCAAGTACCACTACAAACACCAACCGCAGGCGCCAAAACTCAGCCCCCGAGACTCCTAAAAAACTCCGCCCAGCGTCCTTGAGCCTAAACCCTAAACCCTACACGATGTGGATTCGCCCCAGCCGTGCAGGAAGTGTTTACCCCCTTAAACCCTAAACCCTAAACCCTAAACCCTAAACCCTAAACCCTAAACCCTAAACCCTAAACCCCAGGTCCACTAAAGCCTCTAAGCTCTCCTCGCTCTGAGATCCCGCCGAACGAGAACTTCTGGGAGCTGCACCGGAAGTTGGGGGAGCGATGGGGGGCAAGAAATCGGGGTTTAGGGTTTAGGGTTTAGGGTTTAGGGTTTAGGGTTTAGGGTTTGTCGTTCAGATTTGTGTACCTGCCAAAGTTTCCAGACAGGGGTGCAGTTGTCATGCCTGTTTCCTAGCTGACAGTGCAGAGCCTGGGTTCAAAAAAGGGTTTAGGGTTTAGGGGTTTAGGGTTTAGGGTTTAGGGTTTAGGGTGAGGAAAGCCCGAAGCACACTAGACCTTGCAGTGCGCTTCGCCCAGCTACTGGCATGTGGGGCTGTGCGCAGACTCCCCCAAACACCTAAACCCTAAATCCGAAACCCCTAACCCCTGAACCCTAAACCCTAAACCCTAAACCTTAAACCCTAAACCCCTAAACTCCAAACCCTAAACCCTAAACCCCAAACCCTAAACCCTAAACCCTAAACCCCTAAACCCTAAACCCTAAACCCTAAACCCTAAACCCTAAACCCTAAACCCTAAACCCTAAGCCCTAAACTCCAAACAGGAGTGCTATGAGAACGATATGTGTGCGTCGAGGCCTGTGCCTCCAAGCTATCCGGCTTTTGGGGATGAGGGTTTGTGGAGTCAGGTTTCGGGGTTTACAACAAGAGGAGCAACAACAAATAGTCCACCCTTTACCAGGTTAGGGTTTGGGGGCATGTGTGGGGGGGGGTTTCGGAGGAGTTGGGGCTCGGGGCTCGAGGGGCTTCCTCGTCAGCAGAAACTCGGTATTCACGTGGCTGATGCTTCCCTGCAAACCCTAGACCCCCTAAACCTAAACCTTAACCCCTAAACCCCTAAACCCCTAAACCCCTAAACCCCTAAATCCCTAAACCCCTAAACCCCTAAACCCCAAACCCTAAACCCTAGTCCCAAAACCCCTAAACCCTCGCCCCGAAACCCAAACACCCCCCAAACTTGCAGGAGTTTCGGGTACTAAGCCCGCAGGCAGCTCGAGGGGTTTGGAGTCAAAAGGGGTTTGGGCTTTCGGGTTGTGACCACGTCCCGACACATGGTTTAGGGTTTCGGGTTTAGGGTTTCGCGTTTCGGGGGTTCGGGTCTAGGGGTTCGCTGGGTTTTGGGGGGGGGGGGGGGGGCGAGCAAAGGGGTTGGAGGTTCAGGGGTTTCAGGAAGGCAGATGCAGGCTACACGGGTGTTGTTTAGATGTAACCTGTGCTTTTGTGCTGGTTACAAGCCGTTGTAGGAAGCCTCAAAGCCCCGACATAAATACAAAGGCGCCCATTTCGCACCCCAAAACCTTAAACCCTAAACCCTAAACCCTAAACCCTAAACCTTACACCCTAAACCCTAAACCCTAAACCCTAAACCCCTCTTCGGCAGGTCCTTCGGCTTCGGAGTCGAGCGCCGGACGTCGAACAATCACATGCTGCTGGCATACATGGTTGAGCTTTTGCTCGTAGGGTTTAGGGTTTAGGGTTTAGGGTTCAGGGGTACTTCTTAACCCAAGAGTAACTGTGCTTGTAACCCAATTGTAACTGTATTGGGGCACTTGAGGGGCTGATAAGTGGGCTACAAGTACAGTTATACTTGGTTAAGAAGTGCCATAAACCTCCAAGTAGGGTTTCCACCAGAAAGGCGTATCGCAAAACACGGGATTAGGGTAAGGGTTTAGGGTTCGGGGTTTGGGGTTGGGGGGGGGTGAGGGCCTCAACTCTAAACCCGAAACAGACCCAGGGTGGTCCGGGCGGTTTCGGGTTCTTGGGGGTTTGCGCTGCCGATTTTGGGAAAGGTTCCGGCCATTCTTGGTGATTCGTCTGACGGGTTAGGGCCTTAGGGCTTGGTGTTTGGCTTTTAGGGTGGTGGTTGTTTTGTCAAAGTGAGACACCCGCGAAAACTCGTGCGTCGCAACGCGCGCTGTGAATCGGGACATCAAATGGCCGCGGGTCGGTGCCATCACGCATGCCATCGAGCGCCTGGCCCATCAAAGTGCCTTGACACGAAAGGTGCGCCCATCCGCGGCTCAAAACCCCAAGACCCTGAAACTTTGAGAAGCTGGGGTTCAGGGGACAAAGGAGGAGGACCAGAAGGGTTTAAGCAAATGGTTTAGGGTTCGTTTTCTTTTTTTGGGTGTTGGGGGGGGGGGGGGTTCAACAGGGGGTTTCTGAGGGTTAAGGATTTGGGGGTGTACCTGTAGATGCAAACGACGGTTTAAAACTAGTATGCCGAAATGTACGTAATTCTTGAAGAGACGTAAAAAATAGTGGTATCTCAAGATACGGGAAAAGTACCACAGCCAAAGCCTCACTGCATAAATTTCGTATGTCGTATGACTGTAAACATCCCAATATATAAATACATATATGTATACGTATATCTGTATATAGACCCAAGAGAAGCTTGGGGGCTTCTACAGGTTTCCTCGCTCTCGCGAGGTGGCTCAAGAGCGCTCTGAGGTTTGGGTTTCCAGGGTGTACCGGGGTTATTAGTGTATAGAATTCTGGGGGATGCAAGGGTTCAGAGTTGCAGGCTTCTTTTAAGAGGAGCTTTAGGGCTTCTACAGGTTTCCTCACTCTAGCGAGGGGGATCAAGAGAGGAGGTTTGCGTTCGGGGGTCGACAGGTCGAGGGCTTCGAGATTTTACGAGGGCTGTTTTTAGGGGATGCTAGGGTTCAGAGAGGCTTCAACTTTTGGCGCTGTGCCCCACGTCGGCTCAATCCCCGTGCCGCTCTTCGAGGTCCATGGTACTTAGTAATCAATTCGACGAATTGTACCTATAACCCAATTTTAATGTAGTACCTTTTGGGGATGGTATACGAGAATCCCCTGTGTCTAATCCAGAAAGGAACCAGATACTTGGAGGACTTGGAGGTTCAGGGTACTTAGTAACCCATTATAATTGTACTTTTCACCCACTGGTAAACCCCTTAAGTGCCCTAGTATGCTTCAGGTATAATTACAGTGCGAATTGGTTACTGAGTACCATAAACCTCGACGTGTTCTGTGGGCCACCCTTTGGATGGCATGCCAGCTCCTCAGGAAGGGAACAGAATCTCCCGAGCATGGCACAAGTACCGCTGCAAGGTACGATAGGCAATGTAGGACGGCCCCACTCGCCTCGAGGTTCTGCTGTTGTAGCCGACGAAGTCCTCATATAAAACCATACAGATGAAACCTCTAAATCTCCTCTAAAACCCCTGTACAAACCCTCTAAAACCCTCTAAAAACCTTCAAACCCTCTAAACACCTTCTCTATTTTTGGGTTTATACAGGGTTCAGAGAGTGTAGGAATTGTAGGTTTAGAGGAGTTTCAAATTTGTAGGCTTGACAGGGTTTATAGGGCACAGGGATGTAGGATGTTTCAAAAAATTGCAAAAACCCGACCCTAAAACCCGACCCTAAAACCCGACCCTAAAACCCTAAGACTCTATAAAATTACCGAAAAGTAGCCAGGATTCCTCGTCGGCCTGAACTGAGGTGCTCAGTATGTTGAGCGACCAGTCCAGGGTCATTCCTTGTCGCTCCAGCTCCCTGAAGATATGGTCCAGGTAGTGGAATTTGGGCGTGACCGTGAAGCGATCACGCCCGGTGCCCAGCGTCAGATAGGCCAGGTATTGATAAGAGACCAAAAACCGTCGACCGCCCCGGGCTGCTGTGGTGGACTCCAATCGGCTCATCCACAAGCCCGCTTTGTAGCAAACATCGAAACAGAGGTTGATGTTCGCACATGCGCAGTAGGCCTGCTTCAGGATCGGGCACGAAGCAACCCAACTCAAGTGCTCTTCGAACCAATGTTGAAGGTAGAGCAACAGCAGGGTTGTGTCAGCAGCTTTCTGCCAGGCACCTTGGGGCACTTTTGCCCAACTTTCATACCCCATGACATCCTTGTTGACGTGGCCAAAGTGCAACCGGGTACCCCGTCCCCTGACGAAGGACTGAATATCAGCATCCAGCGCAGCAAAGCGGGCTTCAACATTGGAGCCTGAGCTGGACCCAGACCGAAAAAAAAGAAAACAGACATTACTACTGTTCTATTTGCTTAAGAACATCCAAAAACCAAAACTACTAACCCCTATATTTGCCTTATGAGGAAGAATATTTTCACCCAAAAATAAAAACCACTAATCCCTATATTTCCCTTATGAGGAAGACTACTTTTTTGGGAGGGGTGTTCTTAAGCAATTGAGACACCCCAAGAAACTTGCCGAAATTTATCCTTGTATTACCCATTTACTTCAGGAAGAATGTTTTTTGTAGCAAAATAGTCGATTGTGTAGAACATGAGAGGGATTGAAGCTGCATGCCCAGTGTCCAGGAAACCGGTGCAATATTTCTGCCACCACGCTTGAAACGAAGTTTCTGCCCAGTCCCAGGTGTAGGCAGTGCCAAACATCCAGCTTGAAGAAAGAGGCCTGCAAGTTTGGAACATGGTGTACCAGTTGCAGAAGACTGGGCTCCTCATTCCATGGAGGATCCCCCATTGTGTTGGTCCAGGCTGCATTCGTGTTGCAGTCCTCGAAGGGCACGTTGGGGCATCCTGCATTGCACAGGAAGCAGACGCCCTGTTGCACCTGTCCAACTTTCTTTGGCCCACGAGTGAAGGACCGGGTCAGCGAAGCCACTTTCGAGAAAAAAACCAGATCTCCCAAGCATCCCAGAACGACAACCCACCACGTTTGGCCTCGGTATTGAAAGCCACGTGTCTGCAGCAGGTTGTACTCACGACCCATCTCCTGCACCATGCGGAAGAAGCACTCAGAATCGTCACCGTACAGTCGCTTGGGCAGCACGAAGTTCAGGTAACGATTCCCCATGGAGTGCCCCAGAAGGTTCACTCCCATCTTCCGCTTCCGCATGGTTGGCAGGCTGCCATGGCGAGCCAGGAACGGACGGGTGCCTCGGCCGATGGCTCCGTGCGTGTTCCACACCATGACAGGTTTTCGCCGCTTCCCCCGGCCTTCGTCTCCATGACAGTAGACGGGGATTGTCCGGTCTGCGACGATCTCGAGGTCGTGGTCCTGGAAGGCGGCGAAAACTGTGTTGTCGGGCTCCACCTCCCTGTACCGCCTCCAGAATTCTGCCAGGATCGATGCATCGTGCTCACCCCAGAGCACGTTGATACGATCAGCGTCGGCGAGATATTGGAAGAAGGTAGTGGGACGGATCATCGGTACTTTGTAGGAATAATCACCAACATCCACAAAGTCGATTGGCACGTCCAGTGAAAGCCCAGTTTGACAAAACCTGAGTTCCAATTCGGCTCAGTGGAACTCAGAACACCAAGCCCACTTCATTTTGCTTGAGGGTTGGGGGAGGGGATGGGGGGGGAGGGTAGCACTATTGGAACCATGGAGAGTAGGGCCAGGGTGGCACCAAAAGGTTGTACCTTGGGGGAGCTCCAGACTTGCAGCGCCGAAGCCCCGGCTTAGCGGGTGGCTCAAAAAAACCCAAACCCTATAACCCCTATGAACCCTATATGGATGTTTTTTATAGGGCCAGCCCTGCAGTTCGGAAGCCCCGCCCTGACGGATGGCACAAAAACAGACCCAAACACCCTAAACCCTATGAACCCAAATGTTGTTGTAGGGCCAGCCCTGCAGTTCGGAAGGCCTGCTCTGACGGATGGCACAAAAACAGACCCAAGCCCTACATAAACCCTATATGAACCCTAAATGGTTTATAGGGCCAGCCCTGCAGTTCGGAAGCCCCGCCCAAGCGGCTGGCACAAAAACAGACCCAAACCCTATATAAACCCTATAAACCCTATATATTCTTTTTTACATGGGTTTAGGGGAAACCGGCCAGGCCCCAGCTTCCAAGCTTGAGCAGGTGCCTTTACGAAGCTCCATGCAGACAGTGGCTTTAAATTAGGTTAGGGTTTATAGGGTTTGCGTGGGGTTTAGGGTTTTTTTAGGGTTAAACAGCCCCAAAAAGCCCTTACCCTAAACTCAAAACAGGCTTGGGGTGCTCAGGGTCACCTGAGCTGAAAGCCTCAGAAAAGTGCAGCACTCTTGCAGGTTAAGAAAGGGGGGGGGGGGGGAGGTTAGGACTTCTATAGGGTTTCGAGTTTCCGGCTTAGGGTTTATAAACCCTATAGAAATGCTAGAAACCCTATAAAACTTAGGAACCCTATATAAACCCCAAAAAAACCCTCAACCCTATATATACACCCAAAAAACCCCCTGAACCCTACATAAAACCTATAAACTCTAAACATCTCCACTATCCCTTGCAGAGCCCCAACACCCCTGACCCAGAAACGTTGCTTGCAGAGCCTCAACACCCCTGACCCAGAAATGTTGCTTTGGGCTTGCAGAGCCTCAACACCCCTGACCCAGAAACGTTGCTTTGGGCTTGCAGAGCCTCAACACCCCTGACCCGGAAATGTTGCTTTTGGGGGCTGGAGATGGAGTTTAGAGGTCGATATAGGGCCATTGCACTTAGAACCCAATTATGGCCCCAAGGGGGGGAGGTTAGGGTTTGTAGGGTTTCTAGTTTCCGGTGAAGGGCTTAGAAACCCTACAGAAACTCTAGAAACCCGACAAACCCTGAACCCTATAAACCCTACAAACCCTATAAACATCTGATCCAGTCTCCCTTGCAGAGCCTCAACACCCCTGCTATCATAAACATTGCTTTGGGGTCTCGAGCAGAACATGGATTTTAGAGGTCTATATCGGGCGATTGCACGTAGAACCGAATTATGGCCTCAAAGGGGGGGGAGGTTAGGGTTTCAAGGAGATATGGTCCCATTAAGGGTTTGGGGTCTTGTCGGTTTATTTGGTTTACACAGGGTTTGGGGTACCCAAGCATATCATTCCCCCTAGTATTGAAACACCCCCAAAAAACCTGGCCCCAAAACCTGACCCGGTAGCCGAATTAGGGGAGGGGGCGCAGGGTCGGATTCAGGAAGCCTGAAGAAGAAACTCACACCCACCCCCAAAAACTAAACACCCATTGCCCAATCGAGGTCTATGATGCCTGGAACTGGTACATGGTGGCATGCTCAATGCTGCTTGGCAACAGCTTGTGACCTACTTCTTCAGCACGGCTGCTAGAAGCTCTTGCCAGGCCATCTATGACAGCATCAGACGCACGTTGCGCAGGGCACACCGCCTTTGCCATCGAAGAAATCGTAGCTCCCGTGGCCTCGGCCAGTACCATCGAATTCAATTGCTGCAAAAGTGTAGAATGCTCACTTGTGCAGAACATACACATAGCTGGCCACAAGCCTTTTTGTGCCACACTCAAAGCTGCTTCGTGACTAAATAACAAAAATATGGGCCAGCATAGTGGTCGGGGCCTTCACCGCCTAGCTGTTCATTCTGGCAACCCTGCTTCCCATGGAACAATCGAATTAGGTGTGCCTCCAAGCATTTGCAAGGGACGCTCAGCGCAGAAACGTGAAGCAGGTGCATCTTTTCATAGTGTTGTACACGATAGCCACACTCTCCAAGCATGCGTACCAAAGGGTCGTGTGTGAACCCGATTTTGTAGATCATCGGGCCTTCAGCTTTGACAACCTTAATGCACAGACAACAACCTGGCCAGCTTGCACAGCTATTTTGCCTGAAGCGAAATCAAGATTTCAAAGACACGGGGCTGATTCCACGATGCCTTCAGCGTGGGCAAATATCCGGCCTATTGTTTTCGAGGTAGCTAGTTCTGGAAGGGCAATCTTGAAAACGGTCTTCTGGTTGAGTAGTCTTGCCCAAACAGATCCCAAGCGATCACATTCACGAACTTCTGGCGAGAAATACTTGTGATATCTCCAATGCACAGGTGATTCCCTGGAAGGCTTGCCTTGGGTTGGAGACAAGTTTAAAAACTCAAAAAAAAAGACTTGGAGCATTCTGACAAGAAGCGGTTTTTACAAGTGTTGCACCAAGGTTCTGCTGCCATCGTCACCGGATGATACTTTGGCGACTGGAGGACTCGGAGCCCGCATGGGTGTGGGAGTCGAGATTTCAAGTCGGAGTTCGGGTGCATTTGATGCCAGCTTCCTGCTATGGAAAGGGGCAGCCCGTGTTCGTGTGCCTTTCTGAAGATGCTCAATTTGTGTACTGCTTTCCGGGGTCCTGCGCTTGGGGAAGATGAGCAGTTCGTGCAGCCATTCGTCCATGGCCACAAAAGGACACTCCCATCATGACCCCATGTTTGAGTGAAAGCTGATGGCTTTCACGTCTTGCGAAGGAAGGCAACACTTAAGAACACCACAGTAGTATAGGCCCCGGGCTCCTCGGACGAACTGCTTCGCCGCCTCCTGACCCATTGGCCCAGCTTGACCTGGCAAGCAGGACAAAATTCCTTGTGGACAACCAGGCCCTTGCTCAGGCCTTATGGGTTTGGGTTTTGTTGGGAGGTTTAAAGAGTTTAGGGCTGCAGCTACTGACTCACACTCGTGCATTTTCTGGGTTGGCGCGCAGCACACAGGTTCACCCATGAAGGCACAGCCCAATTAATGAGCCGATGTTGATTGGCATCGCTCACCCCTGCTATCATGAGGTGTTAGCACACCTCCACAAAAGCCACCGGGCCTATACAGCCTTTGAAGCAATTGCTTGCAGGAGATACCACCGTAATCGAGTAGGACAGTGTGAAAATCTTCTAGCACGGTCAGGCTCGGCTAGACCCATGGCAGCACTGAAACAGCTACACACGACCTTTTCTAGGCCTTGGCTTGCCTACTCTTGGCCTTTGCCTTGACTGCACCCTTACCCTTAGCTTTAGGCGCAGGTTTAGCTGCAGGCTTCCCTTTGGGTTTGGGCTCTGTCTTCCCCTTGAGCTCTGCCAAAGGTCTCACACCCTTCTGCGGATGCTTGCGGATGGTGTTCAGCTCCGTCCTCAGGAGCATCTGTTTCGGACGAAGGGTCTATAGGGTTTACAGGGGTTGCAAGATTGCAGACTCTTTCTGACAGTGAAAAAGATGGTGATTGAAACATGTATGTAGGATGCCGACAAGACTTTGTTCTCCATCAAGACAGCCCTGCTCGACCTGAGATAAGTCACTGAGTTTGCCCCTTATAATGCTGCAGTGCCCGCCCCTTCAGTCACAAACACACACACACACACAAATGAAAACGAATGCAGACCAGCATCAGGACAGCAGCCGTGTCCACAGCAGCATGGATCTGCTGCTGCAGCCTAGAAATACATCACTTTTTTTCCACCCCAGGCTTGTGGCTTCGGATACACACTAAAAACCCACCAAGAGGCTGTGGGGTCATGCGCAAGTCTGCACTCGCCTTGATCGTAGACATGTGGTCATAATGTTGGTCCAGCAGAGCGTGCTGTTGTTCCAGGCCACTTGCATACCTCCGGGCAGGGGCGCATCACAGTGGAAACTAAACAAGTGCACGGGAAAGGTTTACAAGCGGCCTCTTCTGCAGTTCCGTGGGCTGGGGGTTTTCGGGCGGCGTGAGCTCACACATCCACTCCCTGAACTTGCCAAGTTTGGTCAGAATCTCGGCCAAAGCTTTGCTGAGGAGGGTCAAGCAATCCTTTCAGGGCTGGCAACAAGGTTGAGATGAGGATGAAAAGATATGATTCATGCAGAGCATGAAGAGTCACCAGAGATTAGGGCCAGCCTCTTCCTCCAACACAGAAGCCCCGACTCCTTCCTCAGTCTCATCACCTTCACCCTCGAACGTTGTGCTGATTTGGAGGTCGGTCTTGCTGCTTTCAACCGACAAGCGCTCTTCCTCCATCTGACGATCCAGAGCTTCTCCAGTCCACTCTGTCTCCACCCAATACTGATACACGGAACGATCATACTTGAATCGCCTCAGAGTCTCCCCGCCCTCAACACCCCCCTCAACCCCCCCCCCCCCCCTCAACCCCCCACATGAAGCCCGAGAGCCGGCGCAGTGTCTTGCTGTGGCGGTTGCAATAAGCAATGATCTTCTTGATCAGCTCCCTTGGCTGCTTGGAGGTTCATGGTCCTTATCAACCAATTATTCCTGTATACTTCACTAAAAGACCCCTAAACCAACCCTTGCGAAGGCTCCCCTAAGTCCTAAACCTTAAGTCCTAAACCCTCAACCCTCAACCCTACACCCTAAATCCTAAACCCTAAACTTAAAAATAGGGTTTCTGCAGCACCATGAACAGGTTCAGGGTACAGGAATCAGGGCGACTGAGAGGGAGGTTTGTTTAGGTTTTTGGGTGGGTTCCCTAGGAACTTCGCTGCAAGTACGGCTTATCAGTTTATCAGGACCGTAACCCGGGTTGTAGTAAGGGGGTGGCCTTGCTGTTTACTTCACCTTCAGCTGCCCATGAACCTTGAAGTGAACCAACCCAAGCACTCACACTTAGCCCTAAACCCTAAACCCTATAAACCCTATAAACCCTAAGCCCTAAGCCCTAAACCCTAAACTCTACACCCTGAACCCTAGACTCCGACCCTCGACCCTAAACCGGGGCCAGGCCTCGCAAGAAGCCTCCTTGCAGGGTTTACGGGGTCCTCCCCCATTCCCCAACACTACTTGAGCCTCACCCCGCCCAGCTCGGTTTAGGGTTTAGGGTTTATAGGGTTTAGGGTTTAGGGTTTAGGGTTTAGGGTTTAGGGTTTAGGGTTTATAGGGTTTAGGGAGCTAACCCACTTATGAGCCCTTCATCTCCTCTCATACGGTTATAAGTACAGTTGTAATTGATGAACAAGTACCATGAACCTCCAAGTGGGCTTTCGAAACAGAAGCACTTGTTACACGTCGGCCCTACAGAAATTCATGTAAGGCTCGAATCATATTTCAGCACCTCTTTCATTGCCTTTTCCGTGTACCACCCCGCTTGGACCTTGAGAAGCTTCTCCTTCTGGTGCACTTTGAACTTGCTCACTGAGGCAGCGAAGTTTGCCTGGCGCAGCAGGGCCGAGGCACAATCACAGAGGAAGGGGAGAGAAATGGAGAGGGGGCCATCGTGTTCATTGGAAGACTACAAGTTTTGATTCAGGGGCCTTCTGGAATTGTGCATCAATCAGCAACTTTGCCATCTCCACACGGTTCCCTGCATCCTGGTACATTTCGTGGGCATCTGCACCACCGGGGCTTTTGCCGTTCTTGTGGACATTGCAGAGTCTCCGAAGTCGCTGCATAATGGCGTCTTCGGAAAGAACCTTAAGTCAATCCCCACACAAGCACAAGCCCTCAACATAAATCTACACACACCTAGCCCACTACCCCATGACCCCACCCCCCCCCACCCCCCCCACCCCCCCCAACCCACCCACCCAGACACAGAGGGCAATGTGGCCAGCAACCTTGCCAGTGACTGGGCAATGCACGAGTCCAAACTTGCCCGAGTGCGGTGCCTCAACCGTGTCCTCCTCTTCATTCTCCGAACCCATCACTGAGTCTGCATCACCCTTGCGTGATTTCGCAGCCGAAGAATTTGCAACCTGGGCTTCCGCTGGGCGCTTCTTGCCAGCCACAGGAACCTCAGGCTCAGGGACCTGTCCCAGCTGCAACATCTCGAGCCGCCTTTGGAGCTGTGATTGCATGTGATAAAGTCGAGCATTGTCCTCCATGAGGCGTTGTAGCTCCTCAATGGTTCAACATAATTTAGACGGATACATCATGGTTCCTGTGGCATTCCTGCACATTCTGCACATGCATTGGGAAGGGGCCTCTAGTGTCTCAGTATCCCCCTTCACATTCTCAGCAGACGTAAAGTTCAGCTTCACGGGCGTTGGGCCAACCTCAGGTTTGAGCTTCTTTGGCAAAGGCCGGCCGGGAACCACAACCTCGGCCGGAATTGTGGACGCCGTAGATGGGGTTGGTGACAGTGACTCGGGCCTCTCCTGCGCCCACATGCTGCCATATATCAGTGATGCAAATCCCCCCCCCCCTCTCCAGACACTAGCAGACATGCAACAAACAGGAAGCCTTCTTCACTGCCTTCAGAACTGGCTGTGGAGGCGTGGATGCAGTAGTGGCAGGGCTGGGTGAAGGGATGGAAACATCACTTCCAGGGACTGCTGTAGAAGGGCTTGGTGTCAACAGTCCCATGAGCTCCTGCAGTGGAAGTAAGTAGCATAGTACTAGTAGTCGTAGTAGTAGTGATCGTGCTACTATAACCAGCTTTCTAGTCAACAAGACAGCAATCAATCCTGCATGCGCTTGTTGACCACATGAACACGTCGCATTCGAGCTTCATGTGCTTCTTCCGATGAAGCACTGTTCAGCAAATGCTTGTAGCCACTTGCTAAGTCTTGACACGACCATTGCTTGCTCAGCAAAGCATTCATGCTTCAGCTACAAAGGAGCTGTTTCCTAAAGGAGTGAAACAACAAAGGCCAGTAGTCTGGCAGCAAAACACCAAAACGAAACCTTGCTTTATGAGCCCGGACATCACCAAGCAAAGCTCCATTCAAGCAGCGACACAAGCAAAACCCAGACAGATAGCGAGAAAAAAAAAAAAAAAAACAGACCCACTAAGGAAAAAAACAGTCGGACTGAAAAAACAAGAAAAAAACAGTCCAAGTACGGTGACATGTTGACATTTGGGTTCGGGTTTTTGCCGACATCGTGGTGACATATTACGGGGGGGGTACGGGGGACGGTTTTTTGGGGACGACATTTTTCAACAAATGTCGACATTGCACCCTGAAAAATCCAGTCTTTTGCGGGGGGGTCTGGGGAGGGGGGTGGGGGGGAGGTTCTGGGGGCTGGGCGGGTTTGGGGGGAGAGGTGGGGGGAGCGGAAAGGGTAAAAAAGGCGGGATTGGGGGCAAATGTTGCCAAAATCCCGCAGGCTGCGGGGCTTGCGGGCTGCGGGGCTGCGGGGCTGCGGGGCTGCGGGGGTGCGGGCCTGCGGGCGGGGCTGCGGGGCTGCGGGCGGGGCTGCGGGGCTGCTGGCTGCGGGCTGCGGCTGCGGGCTGCGGGCTGCGGGCTGCGTGGGCTGCGGGGCTGCGGGGCTGCTGCGGGGCGCGGGGCTGCGGGGCTGCCGCGGGCCTGCGGGGCTGCGGGCTGCGGGGCTGCGGGGCTGCGTGGGCTGCGGGGCGGGCTGCGGGCTGCGGGCTGCGGGGCCCGCGGGCTGCGGGGGGGCTGCGGGGCTGCGGGGCTGGGGCTGGGGGGCTGCGGGGCTGTGGGGGCTGCGGGCTGTGGGGGGGTGGGGGTGTGGGGCGAAGCTCACTGCGCGGGTGCGGAACTGCGGAGCTACGGGACGGGCTGGGCTGGCGGGCTGTGGGGTGCGGGGGGCTGGGGGGGGGGGGTGTTGGGGGGGGGTGGGGGCGGGGGGGTTGGTGGGGGTGGGGGGGGGGGGGGTTGAGGGGGCCATACTTTTCCACACCCAAACGAGTGATTCTCTCGTTTGGGTTGTGTGCGGAAGCGGTGCACAGATCTATGATGCGCGCGCGCGCGCGCGCGCATCATGTTTTAACAGCTTCTGGCGGGGGCTGGGGTGTTGCGAGGCTGCACCCTGCCAGACCTATATAGGGTCGGGGTGGTTGGGGAGGGGTTGGTCTAACCTGCCCAGACCTAGAATTTTGGGGAGGGTTTGGGGGCTTCAACCTGCGGGGCTGCGGGGTCTGGGAAGGGGCGTTTTTTTTTTTTTTTTTTTTTTTTTTTTTTTTATTGTTGACTTAGCAACCCACACAGCAGTAGTAGCAGTAGTAGCAGTACAGCACAGTAGCAGTAGCAGTAGTCAGTAGTAGCATAGCGTAGTAGTAGGAGTAGTAGTAGTAGTAGTAGTGTAGTAGTAGTAGTAGTAAAGTAGTAGTAGTAGTAGTAGTAGTAGTTAGTAGTAGTCGTAGTAGTAGAGTATTAGTAGTAGTAGATAGAGTGTAGTAGTTAGTAGTAGTAGTAGTAGTAGTAGTAGTATAGTAGTCGTAGTCGTAGTGTCGTAGTCGTAAGTCGTAGTCGTAGTCGTAGTCGTAGTCGTAGTCGTAGTAGTCGTAGTCGTAGTCGTAGTCGTAGTCGTAGTAGTCGTAGTCGTAGTAGTAGTAGTAGTAGTAGTAGTAGTAGTAGTAGTAGTAGTAGTAGTAGTAGTAGTAGTAGTAGTAGTAGTAGTAGTAGTAAGTAGTAGTAGTAGTAGTAGTAGTAGTAGTAGTAGTAGTAGTAGTAGTAGTAGTAGTAGTAGTAGTAGTAGTAGTAGTAGTAGTAGTAGTAGTGGTGCAGAAGAAGCAGGAGGAGGACAAGTGCAGAATGGAAAGTTTTGTGCTGAACGGTTGATCGAAGCCTCCAGATCAATCCAGAAAGGTCTCTACCTTGCACAGCCTGGCTCATATGCACACCCACCTCTTCTCATCAGACGTGCTCAAAACTTAAGGCTTAAGGCTAGCTCAATAGTGACACAGTGTATTACAGAGATATACAGATCAAAGTGCAGAGGGTACATGCTGGAGCCATTGGCTGGGAATGCGAAGGCTAGAATTGCCCCGGAGATATTGTAGTACGGGTATCATCTGAGCTTCTGCCCAGAGGTCGCCCCACTCAGTGGAGCTGAAAATCTCCATCACACTGGCGTCGCAAATCTCCGGGCAAGCTGTCTTGCCAGCATGTAAATATTCGATCATCGAAGCAATCTTTGCCCCAAATGCTTTTGGGTAAGTTCTTAGATGCAATCAGGCCACTCATGCTAAAGACATCACATCTACAGCAATGCCCCCCTGCAGTGTGACTCAGTGACTCAGCCCCGTGCCCTGTGCCCTTGAGATTGTGATTTCCATGCCAGCGAGCCCTTCCTTTGGCATCCGTGGTCCTTTTGGTAGAGGCAGTCTTCTCGTTCCGTTTCCAGCCCTTCAAAGTTCCACGATCCAATTCACAAATCTTGCTGCTGTTGCTGTAGCCTCTGTGACGTTTGGGCGTGCAAGATCCATAGTGAATCATCCACCAATCCACATAATGGACCTTAGACAGAAGGGGGGCCAGGTATCTTTGGAGTGTGTTAAAAAATATGTCTTCAGAAAACACATCATGAATTTCACGAGTGTCTAAGCTGAAGACACGCATGGCACGAAAGATTTGGCGAAAGCGAGGGAACACTTCAAAGAATGATCGTCTGGGTTGCTCCAGCACCCAAACGATTTGCATCGAACTTGCCAAGATGATTAATAAGCAAGTCCTGGCAAAAAGTCTTGTTCTCACTGAATAAGCAATTAGCAGCTACGACTCCCCCCCGTCCTGGCTGCAAGCAGATTTCCAAGCTGAACGCTTGGCCGTGATGTGTCTCCATATGGTGCCAGCATGCTTCTCCGGGACGTTCCAACGTTGATCTGCGTAAAACTTGAACACAATAACCCGAACCAAATTACTCCTTCATTTTGTTTTGCCGACAGCAGTGCCGCCACGGCCAGCCTCAACAGGAGCAAGCGAAGCTTTTGAATTCACATTGTCTGCATGGACTAACAGGCGAGCTGTGTCTCAGCATCGCACGACATACCACATGGAGTTGCCAGGTCCATGTAGTTCTGGCGCTTCCATTTCTTCCCGAATTTAATATCCAGTCGTGCGGATTTATATCCATGGATTCGTGCGCTCTTCGTAATCGCCGAAGCCCCAGCAAAGAACTCTATGAAGTCTAGGGCCTCTAGCAGACAAACTTCAAGGTTAAGGGCTTTCTCACAGTGCACACAACAGCGTGTTTTGGGAACTGGTTTGCAATTGAGCAGCACCAGGACGAAGGGGAAGATTTTCCGACCAGACCAGAAGCAAAATCAAGAACATGAGCACCTGAACCCAACATTACAGATTGAAGATAGATTGAGAATGATACACCCTCACTTGTCTGCAACCGACACGTTTGGAGGCTCCAGCCTTGGGTGCCCTCAGTGCTGACAGCCGGCGGAAGATCAAGGCCAGCTCAGGCATCGTCAACATGGTTGGGCTTGCAGGTTTAGCTACAGGGAAAGCCCAAATGAAAGGCAACTTACATTGACGATTGAACCCCTTTTTTGGCAACCTTCAAGGACTATCAAGACCTGAGTGCACCCTTTCCAGACCCATGTGATCTCTGCCTGCATGAGCTCCAGGCTGCGGGCTTCTATAGGTTTACAGGGCTTAGGGTTTGTGCGCTTTTTGGGGCCTGAAGGGTTCACACAGGGCTTGTTGAGGACACCAGAATAGCAAACCCTCCTAAGTCCCCAAGATCACAAACCCTCCTAAACCCCTACATAAATAGCCACAAAGTAGCAAACCCTCCTAAATCCCCTAAAACACAAACCCTCCTAAATTCCCACAATAACAAGCCCTCCTAAATCCCCACCTTCGCAAAGCCCTATTAATCCAGCAAAAAGTAGCAAACCCTCCTAAACCCACGAAATCGCAAAACCCACTATATACAGTAGCAAACCCTCCTAAATACCGAAATTCACAAACCCTCCGAAATCCCCTGTAAATGGCAAACCCTCCAAAATCCTCCAAATCGCAGGCCCAAAAAGCCCTAAGCACCCCTAAGCCCTAAACACCCCTAAGCCCTAGCCACCCCTAAGCCCTAAACACCCCTAAGCCTTAAACACCCCTAAGCCCCCCCCCCCTGCGCTGCAGTCCTGGTCAAGAGATGTGTGGGAAGAGGCAGTTGGGGCTAGGGTTTACAGGGTTTATATAGGGTTTATATAGGGTTTATACGGTTTATAGGAGGGTTTGGAGGAAACCCTATATAGACCCTAAACCCCCTATAAACCCTAAACCCGAAACCCTAAACCTATATATACTTACTAAGTCCAAAGGGCTCCCAAAGCAGACTCCATATAGGGTTTAGGGTTTATAGGGTTTACATATATATATATATACAGTAGCAAACCCTCCTAAATACAGAAATTCACAAACCCTCCGAAATCCCCTGTAAATGGCAAACCCTCCAAAATCCTCCAAATCGCAAGCCCAACTTGAGGAGAGAACCCCGGCCTGCGAGGAGAGAACCCCCAGGTGAGCCCGAAAAAGGCCTTGAGGAGAGAACCCCGCCCCGAAAAAGGGCTTGAGGAGAGAACCCTGGGTTCGGAGAGAACCCCGAGATAAGCCCTAAAACGGCCTTGAGGAGAGAACCCCGGCCACCGAAGGCCTTGAGGAGAGAACCCCGGCCTCTGAGGACAAAACCCCGAGGTGAGAACCTCAAAAAAGCCTTGAGGAGAGAACCCCGGCCTCCGAGGAGAGAACCCCGAAATGTGCCCTAAAAAGGCTTGAGGAGAGAACCCCGGCCTCCGAGGAGAGAACCCCGAGATAAGCCCTCAAAAGGCCTTGAGGAGAGAACCCCAAGAACCTCAAAAAAGCCTGAGGAGAGAATTCCGGCCTCCGAGGAGAGAACCCCGAGATGAGCCTTAAAAAGGCTTGAGGAGAGAACCCCGGCCTCCGAGGAGAGAACCCCGAGATAAGCCCTCAAAAGGCCAAACCCCTAAGCACCCCTAAGCGCTAAACACCCCTAAGCCCTAGCCACCCCTAAGCCCTAAACACCCCTAAGCCCTAAACACCCCTAACCCCCCCCCCTGCGCTGCAGTCCTGGTCAAGAGATGCGTGGGAAGAGGCAGATGGGGCGAGGGTTTACAGGGTTTATATAGGGTTTATATAGGGTTTATACGGTTTATAGGAGGGTTTGGAGGAAACCCTATAGACCCTAAACCCCCTATAAACCCTAAACCCGAAACCCTAAACCTATATATACTTACTAAGTCCAAAGGGCTCCCAAAGCAGACTCCATAGGGTTTAGGGTTTATAGGGTTTGGTTCTGGGGCTTGGTCATGCCTTAAGCCGGCCCTCAGAGCTTGAACAGTTTTTTGAGGGTTCAGGGTAGGGTTGATGAAGGCTTTCCAAGGGTATATTTGTTCAGAGTCTGAATCGGGTTTAGGGCTACTTCAATGGCGCAGAAGCGTGCCAGCCACACCAACCGAAGCTGGAACATCGAGACGGGTTGTCTCTAGAACTCGCCCTCGTAATCCTTTTGGTACCGGCATCGCAAGCACCTGCAAGGGGAGCTATTGAGGAATTACAAGAGCAAGAAACAGCAGGTGTGGTATATGTCAGAAGCTGCTCTGCACCAGGCGCATATGTTCACTCTTGTTCAGACTCACACGAGACACGGGCAGAAATCTTTTCAGCCGGTGATAGAAGGTCTCTGCACACCCCTAGAGAAGCTTAGGACAGGTGATGGTCGAAATGTCTCTTTGCAAGGCCTTTGCCCGCCCCCATGTGCTTGCTCAGTGTCTGGCCACTGCCACGATCATGACTATATAGCTTTCTGCGAGTAAACAGAAAGATCAGGCTTTCAGACACCGGCCCTAAAACACTGCTCGCATCTATGCACATGCTTCCCCGCAAAGGACCGTGCGTCAGAGCACAGATGGAATGGCCATGTACACCGTTTCTACAAAATGTTGGCCACAGGGTTGCCTGAAATCATCTGCCTGCCATCTTCAGCAGTCTGCGCTTTTGATTGCTGTACACCTCAAACTTGGCATCATCAGTTGTGTGGGGGTTGTCCATTGCCTTGGCCTCAGGCAAGTGCACGTGAAGCTGGTTCAGCCGACCAGGCCACTGGATCTGCAGTCTATAGAGGTTTGTCGTGTTTATAGGGTTTTTTTTATAGGGTTTAGGGAGCATGCAATTCAGGCAAGAGTCGACAATTTCGGCTGCATCCAAAAGGACTTTGACAGAAAGGCCCTTCGTGCCAAAGTAGTGCACCTGAGCACAACACACTGAGCCAGGCACATATCAAGTAGCACAACCAAACTTCAAAACTGCAGAAGCACGAGCTAGATGCGTGCTGGCCACTCCCTTGAGTTCCGGATACGTCTGAACGGAAAAGCCGGGCCGGCTCCAATAGGCCATGATGTGGTAGTTTCTCAAGTGCTCATTGATGTACCGCACCCTGGCCTTGTACCCCAGTAGGACCTAAGTTTCAAAACAATTCCGTTAAATTTTGTTATTGCACTTGAAAAAGTTTGCCACACAAGTTGAAGGATTCATTTTGTGTGTCCGGGGTTTTGGAGGCACAGGCCTCGTCCGCAACATCGTAGTAGTGCACAGTCTTTTCCCCCTTGTCGTTTGTCAGAATGCAGGACTGAAGCCTTGCCCTCGTTCGGGCATTTGCTGTACCTTCGCGGCTGACCAGAGTGCCTTCCTCGACCCACTCATCTCGTGGGTACAGCTCTACCCCATCCCCATCTGATCCTGTGCCTAGCCTCGGTGTCACAGCTGTGGCCTTTGCTTTTGCTTTTGCTTTTCCTTTTGGTGCCGGCACACTGCTGCGGGCTTTGGCTTTGGGTGTTGCTTTGGCTTTGGGTTTTGCCGTTGCTGCTGCTTTGGGACCAGTCTCATGATCCCCGACCAGATCTGTCATCCTCCTCAAGTGGCCTTTCTGTGTGTTTCGCAGGATTTGTCCGAGCTCCGGGCCAACCTCCTCGTTCTCTTCCACAGTCGCTCGGGGCTCCTTTGCCTTGCCCTTGGAGATCCTCGATCCTTTGCCCCTTCTCTTCTTGAGTTTCCTGCTGCCCCTGCATTTGCGTCTTGGCGGCTCCTCCATGTGCTCCTGCGCAGGGTATGCACCATCCTCGCCCTCAACGTCAGGCTCCTTGTCATCTGTGTCTGGCTGCTTGCACTTTTTGGGCCCAGGTTTGGCTGCAGATGGCTTGCTTGCTGTGTTTGTATCCCAGTCCTCATCATCTAACTCATCCTGCTCGATGCCTGGCTCCTTCCTTGCCTGCTTGCGCTTTTTTCGCAGAGGTTTGGCTGCTGATGCCTGGCTTCCCCGCTTGCTCCCACTCCTCAGCATCTAGCTCCCAGTCCTCCGTGCCTGGCTCCTTGCTTGGCTGCTTTGGTTTTTTTCGGGCACCTCTTGGGGGTGCCTTGCTTGTAGCCTCCCCTGGATCCTGGTCCTCAGCGGTTGGCTCCTCGTGCTCCGTGCCTGGCTCCTTGCTTGGCTGCTTTGCTTTTCGGCAAGCTTTGGCTGGGGGCGGTGCCTTGCTTGTAGCCTCGGGATCCTGGTCCTCCGTGGCTGGCTCCTTCCTTGCCTGCTTGCATTTTCGGCCACCTTTGATTGGGGGTGCCTCGTCTGGATCCTGGTCCTCAGCAGTTGGCTCCCCATGCTCAGTGCCTGGCTCCTT